CTGCTCATAATTACATTCTAAGGAAGTGTTGAAAATGTGGGAAAACTGAATTTAAAATTTTTTTCTCTCTGTCAGACATGTCTGAATATAGAGTCTATCTGATCTCATGCAGTTTCATTACACTTTCACTTTTATTGTTTTTATGTATCATATTTTATGCTATAAAATTAAAATAATTCATATTTATTTTTAATTTTGTGTTACAGAATTAAAGATTGAATAAAGTAAATATGATCAGTGAATTATGTACAAGTAACCTAAAAATAGTAAGATCTACAATGACTTAAGCCTTGTAAAGGATTTATACTTTGTCACAAAGACACAAAATCTCTTTATTATGATAATATTGTAAATTGTCCTCAAGGACACATGGCACAGTGGATAAAGGCGTTGTTTAGATCCAGTGACAGACCCAAAGAAAGTGAGTTCAATACCTGGTTAAGGCAGGAGATAACTGATAATTGACATCCATCAAGCATGGCACATGGAACTAGAACAGTCTACCCCAGTGATCGAAATAAAGGGTTCAGTTCGAAATTCCAATCACCTGAAGAAGGCCGGAGCGTACAACGGCCAAAACGTGACAAAGATGAGGACAATAGTCCGACTAATGTAAATACTGTATTGTAAATTGATAATGGGATATTTTAGATGTCTAGCTAATTCAGACCTATTTCTAAATGCTTTATTAAAATTGTTCTAAACAAGAATAGAAAAATTAGTTGCATGTGGTAACTTGGAGGTGTTAGTATGAATACCAATACAACATAAAAAGTTTATTGTCATCATTCACTGACTATTCCCTTCTTGTGGCCATTTTCAACATTGTGTGAGTACACCAATTTTCTTCAAAGAGCTTTGCTTCTTTCTAAATATCTTTCCTCCATTTAATATGATTTATTTTCAAAGCTATGAATGACTTATCTTTTGAATCCTTACATGCTTTCATCTTGTGTCATTGCCTTTAAAACACCTTATGTTCATACAGAAGTCATTTTGGTAAGTGATTATCCATGATCAAAAGGACCCATCCAACATAACCTGCACTTATTATAGACACTAGTATATATCTATCTTATATATCTATGTCTACCATTCAACCATGCTTAGAATATTGCTGTCACATATAGTCTGATGCCCCTGCTATTTACCTTGAGGTCCTTGATAAGATCCAAAGAAGAATCTGCAATATTATTTGTCCTGATCTGGCAGCTCAGCTCCAGTCACTTTCCCACCCCCATAAGGTTGCCTCTCTATGTCTTTTCTATAAATACTTTCATGTTAATTGTTCAAATGAGGTCTTTGCTATGGTACCTAGAGCTTATGAATTTAAGTGCAGCACTAGACTGGTGTTGAGATCTCATCAATTTACAGTTGAGCAAACTAGATGTAGCTGTAAATTTTATGCTAACAGTTTCTTCTCTTGCTCTTCTTGCTTCCTTCCATACTTTCCAGCCAATCTGCAAAAACTTAAATGCAATGCCAATTGCTATCTACTGTCCACCTGATTACTCTCTTCACTTTCTACTCATCATTAATGTTTTTGTTCCTAATTCTTCCACATAATATAACCCCTTGTGGTCATTCCAAATTAAAAATAGTTTTAACTCATCTGACAACATCTTCATTCTTCTTGAAAGTAAATTTTCTTTTTCTTAATTTTCTAAGGCTACCAAGAAAATAATCGGCAAACTTGAAAGAAATATAATAAAAACTAATTGACATATGTCTAAATTATTTAATAACCTGTTTGAATGCAAATATGCTGCATATATATATATATATATATATATATATATATATAAGAAATATAGTTTTAAGGTGTGCTATATTTACGTGGAAAAAAGCTTGTGGTCTGACAATTGCGTCTAGCATGAAACCTGTCACCTCTCAGTGTTGACTTCAATGTTCACTTTCATATTTATATATATATATATATATATATATATATATAATTTTTTTAAAAAATTATAAGTATATTATAAAATCACTACAAAAATAGCCATTTTGTTTCAACACACTGTGTCTTATCAAGTGATGATGTTGAAAAGAAAATAGATGGTTTTAAAAGTTTCAGATTAATTAACGATCCTACACTAAGGGGAAACATTGTTACAAAAGCTAGAATAACCAATCAAAAACGAAGTATAGAAAGATTCAAAAGCTTGACAACGAAATCCTGCTATAATAGCTATTCAAAGAATAGTAATTGTTGGTTGTTGAATTCATTCCGTGTATACCAATTATATACTTTGATATATATATATATATATATATATATATATATATATATATTTATTAAACATATTTTTATGTTTAACGTTGTTATTTTATAGATACGTGCCTTTAAGCAAATGCTCTGTTTATGATAAACAGTATTAAATAACATTTACCGTTCAGAGTCCGAGAAATTTTCATAGAAAATTTTCGTTCTTTGTTAAAGAACCTGCATCCTATGAAAAATTTCATATACGCTCAGGCGTGCCTTTAAATGTTAGCTACAACTGTTTATCATAAACCGAGCATTTGATGCAATACTCGAATCTGTAAAAACGAAAATTTTTCTATGAAACGTTAAACATAAAAAAATGTCTTTAAAATAAATAAATTGTCGGACCTTTTCCATTTCTTAATATATATATATATATATATATTTTGCTCTATTTTAAATACTTTTAAAAGAGATCCCCCCCCCACATAAACATAGCAATTTTTGATTGCTTATTCATTAATAGACCTTTTCATGCTGTTCTATTTCAAAATTGGTAAGCTCTACAAGTCTTGTTCACATTTTTCAAAAAGAATGTATCAGGATAAAAAAAAAAAAAAAAAATGGCATGCAGAGACATTCTTTTGAAAAAAAAAAAAGTGAAAAAGAACTGTAGAGCTCAGGTGTATCAAAGGAAAACAAATATTGAATTTGAAAATTGTTCTGTATGAAATAGTCTGTTAATGAGCATATAATAATAAAAAAAACATTACATATTGTAGTTTAAAATTTTCTATATTTATGCATGTGTGCTTATAGATTTAGACCAGAGGGTGGCCAAACCACAGCTAGTAATCCATTTGTGACACTCTGAACTTTAACATGCAAATATGTTAACTGAACCGTTTTTTTTTTCATCACAGTTAATATTAAAAAAGGTAAATAAGAAATATTTCAAATTTTATAATTATTTACTGGGTATGAATTGAGACACCATTGGATTTAAACATAAGTTTAATGTTAATGTGTATGTAACAAAAATGTATGTGTAAATTTTGTCTAAGTCTTGCAGCTCTCAAGCATCTGAACTTTATCATATGCGGCCCTTACATTAAGCAAGTTTGGCCACACCTGACCTAGAGAAATAAAAGCTGTATTTTTTGTGTGAAACAAGGCCCTGTGATGTGAGATGCTTAACTAATTCAGCATTGATTAGGGCTTCTAGTAGCGTATAGAAAAAAAAAAGGTAGAAGGCTAAGCCAATAGTTAGAAGGTTCACATGGTTCAGAGTTCTTAAAAACTGGAACAAAAAATTAAGATTTCCAACATACAATTGGTTCATGCATTGCAGCTCTCAAACATCTAAACTTTATATAGTATGTGGCTCTTATATTAAGCAAGTTTGGCCACCCCTGACCTAGAGAAATGAGAGATGTATTTTTTGTCTGAAAGAAGGCCAAGCAATGTGAGATGCTTAATTCAGAATTGATTAAGGCCTTTAGTAATTTACCAAAAAAGTTAGAAGCCTAATAGGCCAATAATTGGGAGAGTTGGAGGATTCACTTGAGTTCTTAAAGATTGGAACAACAGATTAGGATTTTCAACATGTATATAAATTTTGTTCATGTCTTGCGGCTCTCAAACATCTGACCTTTATCGTATATGGCTCTTACATTAAGCAAGTTTGGTCACCCCTGACCTGAATAGCATCCGAGTTATGAACTGGGTAAACATCAGCCTATATCCACCCTCTACACACAAACTATAATTTATGTGTGTGTAAAAGTTATATAAAATTATACAATGTAAATAGTTGTTATACAAGAAATGATCAAAATTCACAAAGACAAACTGTATTTGAAATCTGTTTTTAAAGAATAGAAATTTTTTCTGATAATTAAACAACATGACAGATCGAAATGAAGCTGAAGTGATATTTTGAGATGAATATTTAAAAAAATTCTAAACATGTAGCGGAAAAGCCTGTTATATTCCATATTTTGAAGATGTTGCTTGATGTTTTTTTTAAACCAGTTTATATACTCTTTTACAGTTGAAGGTGCCCACTTCAATCATATCTTATATTGAAGTATCTTTGATCTTTAAAAATTTAAATGCAATGTTAATTATCATCTTCTATCTCCTTGAATCTTGTTCATTCATTGTCCTCTTTCCTTGATGTTTTTCTCTAATTTTTCACTCTAAGTAATGCCTTGTGTCTTAGGGGCTTTATCGCCTTGCTTGAGGTAAAAAAAATTAAAAATATGACCTAAGTTGAATACCAAACATTAATGATTAATTTTTAGTTAATCAACAATTATAAATCTTCAAAATGTTTCAGTTAAAAAAAAAAACTAAGAAAAGCAAGACATTAAAATATATTGCATCAAGAATAGAACCATAGTAAACTGGTTTTTCTTTGACCACATACATATCATGTGAAATCTTTTTAATCTATTGGAACAAAATCTGCATCTAATTTTGCTTTTACTATTGTCATTTATATAACTGTGTACATTCTACAGCCAGCCTTTCACAATCTTAATTTGAATTAGATACAAATAAAACATTATCAACTATAAATGATTTACTTTCAATTTAAAATACTATTAACATTTTTCTTGTCAAAGGCTAAAAGTTTTGACATTTGTTTCTCAAATTTTGTAAACTTTTCAATATCATTCTCCAGACTTGCATTTTCACATTCTTAGTATTACTAAGAAAAGGTATAAGTAAATATAAGCAGATGAAAAAAACCTTTAAAGTAGTAGTACATAAAAATTATACTAACCACCAGACATTGTTCGGTTTTGGAGGGGAAGTTGTTTAGCATATTGTAACAACATTTCTCTCTGTCGTTCTTCATTTGTTTCTCTTTCAAAAATTTCCAATTCTTGTTTGCTTAAATAAAACTGAAAAACAATGAGTTAAGAGATTAAGGATGATGATTTAAAAGTATTGATGATGATATCTTTAATTTCTGAAATTATAACATTTTCATAAAAAAAAAAAAAAAAAAAATTCATATGGCATATCTTAAGAAAAATTTGTTTAAAAGAGAATACATCCTGAGACAGAACTATTATTTAAAAAAAAAAAAAAAAAAAAAAAAAAAAAGTTCTTAAAAATGTCCATGTTTGGATTAACTTTTAGCACTCTGCATAACTAATATTACTTCTCTTTCCACTGCATTCTTTTTAAAAGGCTTTTCAATTGCAATAACCTTATTGTTAATTTCACTCAAAGTTGTTTTCTGTTGCCATAGCAGGATATGGTAACACAACTATGAAATTCAAACACACTATGGTTCATGGATCAGATTCACCTTCAGTAGCAGGATAAACTTTTTATACAGCAAATGAAAACAAGTACAGAGTGATAAAAGTTAGGTATTTTCATTTATAATTTTATTACTAGTTCTACTGCATTTGTTTGTTTTTTTTAAACTAACATTGTCAAATCAGCTGCTTTAGCAAAGCTATAAATGAAAATGACTAGCTTCCAATAAGACTTCTCATACTTCAGAAATCATTCCTTAACTGTACTGGTCACAACAATATTAATTAAATAGAGTAAAAATCTATAGCCATTCTGACAACCTCTCTCATTGGTTTTCTTTTTTCTGTTTTGTTAAATAATACCAGTTAGTTTTTGTAATATACCAAAAAAATACACACAAATAATGTAGTCAGTATACTCTCAGCCCATATTTTATATATATATATATATATATATATATATATATATATATATATATATATATATATATATACCATATACACACCTGGATAGCCAGGTGGATATTCTAATATATTTTCCCTGTAATAATTTAAAATCAAAGAAAAGAAAAAGGCAATTAAAAAAAAAAAATTCAATATTTCAACCCACTTATGGCTATCAAACTTATAAATAAAAATCTGGTATTAATTATTTGTTTTTATCTATGAAATCAGTGTTATCCTATATCCTATTTTTGTGACTGGTGTTTTATATATATATATATATATATATATATATATAAAAAAACACACTTTTGTTCATGTAAAACTAAGGATTTTTAAGAATTTTCACCTTCATCTGAAAAGTTCAGTTAGTTCAAAACATTAATGCAAATTAAATTTTATAAAATAGATTGTAGAAAGAAAGTCCTTTACATTTATAGAGAAACTTATGGTTGATCAAAAAAAATATACAATGAAAGTACATTACTTTGTTCATATAGCAATACTACATTTTGGAAATCAAAAGTATCAGTTAAAATATGTTAAATTTTTTTTTTATTATTAAATGCATGACTACCATCATTAGTAATATTGAAAACCTATCTTCAAACCAAAATTTCACTTGCTAAGTAGAAAAAAATAATCAGTACTAGATTTCATTACTACACAGGTAAGCATTTTAAATTGTTAAATTAAAAACTCCATTTTCACTTAACTAATTTGTTTAATGTGTTGGAAATAAAAAAAAAATATTGGGTTTCTTTTTTGTATGTACACTTTTTTGTAGATATGCTGTATTTTATTTTAAATTAAAAAAGAAAAAAAAGGAGACATCCATATGGTCTGTTTTTGTTTTAGTGTTGATTTTGTATACTAACAGGAAAAGATAATTGATCTGTTTATCCCCCCCCCCATATAGGATCTTGTGCATATGCAAAGTGACTCATTTGAGTTTAGCCATGCCTTGAAGATGCCCATAAAAGAGCAAGTAGTGCCTTACATGCAGTGTTTTTTTTTTCGCATAAGCCAGGGGGGGGCCTGGTCAGCTTCTTCAGGCAGAAGGGAGACTGACATTATCATCCCTTTCTACTTCAACTCAAGGAGGAGGAGTGATCAACACTTACATGACAACCAACAACCACAGAACAGAGTGAAAGATACCTTCGCAAAGAAAGCGGTTTTGTGAACCAAAATTTTACATTTTCAAATAACTCGCAAATTAAGCAGAGATTTTAAAGGGTTAATTTTAAAAGCTGTTATTAAGACCTTTAGTGGTCATATGAAACTTTTATAAAAAAAAATAAAACTCAGATGAAAATAGCTGAGATATCCTTTTTGTTCTGCTAGTATATACAAAAATAATTTTATTTAAATGTTTGATGTTAAATGACTGGGAATAATCCCATAGCACTTAAACTTATTATTAGTGCCATTCAAGTACTATTCATTTGTGTCTACTTACTGTTGTTCATATTGTAAATAAAGTTTCTCTTTTTTATTTCTATAAACAGTGATCTTTTTTTAGTTTTCTTCCTTCACTGTCTTGTTTACATTGTTAACTTTTATAGAGAGGTTGTTGCTTGTTCCTGAATGGGAGAAATTTCTTTATAATACACTATCGAGTTCTTACCCACAGTTTTTTTTGTTTCTAGTATTATTGCCCTGTAAATAATCACAGGCATCAACTTCCAATTTATTTTTCTGATAAATGTTTTCTTCAATAGTAGAAACTGATGCATTGCTCTGTAAAACATCATCTAGTACTTTTGAGATGAATTTGCTTTAACAATTGCTTTAAGCAGATCATTATCCAAAATCTTTGGTCTTCCTGAGCAATCAATATTGTAATGATGACATTAACAAGGAATCATTTAACATTCATTGACTGAAAAGTTAACATTACTCTCAATTGAAATTTCTAAAATCTTTCTTTTAAGTTTTTCTAGAAATTAGGTTTTCCAAGTCTACTGATATTTCTTTTTCTAGTAATGATGGGGCTTCCTTCTTGATATATTTTTTTAAAGTAGTGAGAAAAGTCAAAATCTTGATTGTATCATTTTCTCATCTAGTTATGTTAATAACTAGATGAGAAAATGATTTAAATTTTAATTGTAGCTGCTGTTGGAAGTTTTTAATATACTTGAAAGAAAACAATAGTTATTCCAAACATAGAATAATCCACACATCTGACATATGAACTAAGATAAAAAAAAACAAAAAAAAACATAAGATATTTGCATTGTTGCACTTACAAAGTTTATGGGATTTTAAAGACTTTATTTTATTACATATGGTGATACAGGGGAAAAATGGTGTACAACTATATAAAAAAAATGCTAGTTTACATCCAAGCATTGCTATTTATATTCAGTACTAAATTTGTTTAAATGGTCTTCCAGTTAAATCTTTCCAATGTAGAATATGTATTCTTTGTAAGAAATCAGTTTGTACATCAGGATTCATTGACGTATTTTTGTAAAGAGGTTTTTGTTGGCAGTCAAATGTATTGCTGGTAACCCCTCCCCTCAAAAAAATGTATTGCTGGTATTTTTACTAAAAAAATCTATTTTTATACTCTCATAGTATTTTGACCCATGTTTGAGGGTTAACTATTTGCCCATAGCTGGGACTCTAACAGGTACTACCATCCTGGGTCAGGGTGGACCTGTGAACGACAAGAGGTTTAGTATTTCAATATTTGATCATTAAAATATTGATTTAAGAAAATCAGTTGGATAAAGAATTTTCAACACTCCTTATATTCAACACTAAAGAAAATGATTTTTAAAATGAAAAAGTTTGGAAAGGAACAGCTAACAAATTTACAGAGTATTAGGAAAGCTTACCCAGCATCTTAAACACTTAACTAAAATTTGTCAGCCATGTTGGTTAATTATACAACTGAACTAACTCATTAAATTTAAAGACATGCCTTTGGTAGTAACCTTTAAATGCTTAATTTAGTTAGATTTAACATGCATATAAAACCTTCTCATTTCCAACAATGTTGTTGGTTAATTTACAAGTAGAACTACTTTGCATAATCATGTATTAAATGAGTTTTTGAAGTTCTTTAGGACTGAGGAGAAAGAAAAGGAAAGATTAAAATTATCTTTGTTAAATATATTTCATAAAAAACAAAATTCATTTGACAAAAATGAATTCAAATCAGCATAGTATACAGGGGACGATGGATAAACTGTCATCTAAATTACACACACACACACAAAAAAAAAAAAAAAAAAAAAAAAAAAAAAAAAAATATATGCTAGTATAATAAAAAATTTATTCAGATTTTTTTTATTATTTACAATATGGTAATAACTATCCAATGATGGTTAAAGGAATTACTTACATCTTTAGGAACTTTTCCAGTTGGTGTGAATATTGTTTGCCAATATGACCAAAGGAATATGAACAATAATGGATGGTAAAAAATGATATACAGAACTGAAAAGAAAAAAAAAAATTTCTTGTAAAAAGTTATTATTAATAAAAATAGTTAAACAAAATCAGATGGTATTTGCAAGCAAATATTAATAGATGCCAAGAAAATTTAAAGCATGTTAGGCATTCAGTGTTTATATAAATAACAACCAATTTTATGAATTCACAATTCAAAAGAATTAAGAAAAAAAAATGTTTACAGCTTGAAAAACTCAAGAAAATATTTATATTTATTAAAGTCCACTCATAACAAATGTACCCAATGGTGTAACATGGGCAGGACCAGAGGGGCAATTGACTTGGAGACTAAATTTTTAGGGACAAAAAAAAAAAAAAAAAAAAAAAAAAAATTAGGTTGAGAAAATAAATAAGAAACTAGAATTTATAACAAGCTCTCATGACTAAAGAGGAAGTACAATAGTTTTAATTGCCCCAATTGTCAAAACCCACCCTACATCACTAGGTGTACCATACTCATTCTACTTGAAAGTGTACAAATTTAAGTATGTAATTCAAACCCAACAATTAAAACTAAACAGAATTGTTTTTAGTAGTTTCAGTATGATAGTAATAAAAAATATTTTAACTTTTACTTTAATACTTTTTAGTATTATTATTATAGTATTGGTATTATACAGAATCAATGGTTAAAGTATTTAGTATAAAAGCCATACATATCATTGTTTTGTATTAGTAATAAATAGCTTCTCACTTTTAGTACACTGTGGAACATTATCAGTTTTAATCAGGAAAGTCAATTCTATTGAGTTTAAAGTAAAAATGACTTTTCCAAAATAAGCTACATTCAGATCATAATCATTAATATCTTAGTGAAGTTCATTCTTGGATATATTAAAACTCATGTGATACTATAAGCAATTATTGTTATTTCTACTGATAAGAAAAAAATATCAAGCATTTGCATTCCTTTGGACATCTCGGTTTTGAAATTTAAGTCCATACAAACTTAATGTTCCAAAATCAGTAAAAGCTTTTAATATTTGCAGCATTTTTATAATTGTCAACATAATGTTTTAAATAAATTATGGGACAATCTAATTTATGAAATCTATATTTATCCTTTTAGTATTTCAAGTAAAAATGTAATTAAAATAATTTTGAATTTTTAATGAATTGCTTATTCATAAGCAAAAAGGTTTATGTTAATTTCAAATTGGTGCAGTATGTACAAATACAGAATGTAAGATGAAAGTAATTTGGGCAAATGCTTGTCGGTTAAGTAATATTCAAAACAAAAATTTTAGTTAGTTCTATTACTTATGCTTATTCACATCTTCAGGACATTAAACATTAAAATTATTTAGAATTCTGACATATTCAATATGCATTGATATAGAAATATTCCATTTGGTGAGTATAAAGAACAACTTGCTGGTAAGTGTAGAGTTGAACAAATTAGATTAAATCACTTTTCCATTTCTGAAAACAATTAGACATAAAATGTAAATCTCAGTGACATTACTGTTTTTGAAATCAAATGATATGGTAACAAAAATTTAATATATTCTGTAAATACATGGCATATTCAATTTGCTAAGTCCTGTATTAAAAGATGTTATTTCATCAAAATTGATAATACATGAGACATGAAAGTGCCATCATCAAAAGTTTTATCTACCTTTCTTATAAATTTCATCAATATACGTATGTATTAAGAGAGTGAATATAATAAACTAGTCTTTAAAAGAAAATGTATAGTCTTAACAGAGATGAAAGAGGCAATATTGATAAGATCACATTGTTCACAAAGCAGAAGCAGTTTATATAGAAATAGATACAAAAAGAGACCAATAAGTATATCTGTACACTAACAGCAAATACAATTGTCCCATGTTAAAGTATTTAATAATAATAATGTAATATTTTTGAAAATGGTTTAGCAAGATAAAATTTCTCCTTTTGTCATTTATTTGCATAATGATAATTTCAAACTTTTACATAGAGGGGCAAACTTAATTTAAAATTAGGAATCACACTACTTACGTTCATCTTTGTTGTTATTACATTTCAGCCACTGTGCTCTAAATGTGGATTAAAGCATTGCTTTATGAATTTGGTTACATAGTAAGTGTAAGTTCAATCCCAGGGTTGGGCAGGGCGTACTTGGACACACTGGGCAAGCAATAACTAAGTACTAAAAAAAAAATTAAAAAAATATGGAGAGGCTTGCATGGTCCAATAATTCTGAGAGTGATGCTGCTGTGAGTTCTAAACTCCTGACAGGACCACACCCTTGGCAGCAAAGGTCGAAGATGAGGACCTGGACTAAGCGTGATCAACCCCTATGATACCAACACTAGAGCAAGTGGATGACAATTACAACAGATCTTAATAGTTAAACCAGCAGATAAAAGAGGACTATGCATGATGGACATGCTACAGAAGGTGCTACCCAAAATTATAACAGAGTCAATGACACTTTGTTGCAGTTTCATAACTGGATTCTGCATGCTTGATTCCATATGTGCTGCAGAGGAAGGTCATGAAATCAAGTGTGTGGTTCACTTCCTGGCAAATTGAGGTCCATGTTGAACAAATTCATGTCATCAACATCTTTCTTCTACTCTGATTTTCTTTCACCTCCAACCAACTCTTGCAAAGCCAAATGGTGATAGGGAATGGATGACAAGAACAGGCTTTGGTGAAACTGGAAGCTTCTAGTCCTGAACCTGTTTGTTGGTGGTAAATTTAGTCATCAATGCCATCATTATAAAGGAAGCAATGCGCAAAGAAGAAATTAAATTCTTGGATATGAGATAAAGCCGTTATCAACTAAAATTAAGAATTAGACGAAGTATCCCTAGACACAGGCAGTAAAACTAGAACAGTTTAGCCTTGTAGATTCAAAATGGTTCAGCTTGGAATTCTCTTGTAGGTTACCCAGATCAACATAAAAACCTGATGATAGTCAGGGTGTAACGATAATAACAACAAAGATGAGGACAATTGTTTACATGTAGATTGTTTAAATAATGATAACACCTCATTCCAGAAATTCAGACTCACATTATTTCATATTTTGTAGCAAGTTATTCTCCAAAGGGTTATTTAATGCTGACAATTTTTATTGCTGGTAATATTGTTTTGCCAAAAATCTATTTCTGGTAATATTTTTCCTCAAAAACGTATTGCTAGTAATATTTATTTTTTAAAGACATTGTTGGTAATATTTTTTTTAAAAAATTTATTGCTGGTAATAGTTTTCTTCTTCATAAATTTATTGCTGGTAATAATTTTTTTTACAAAGTATTTTTGGTATTAAAACCTATTTTTACACTTTCATAGTGTTTTTACCCAAGTTTTGGGGTTAACTATTTGCCCATAGCTAGTACCCTAATAGGTGCTACCACACCAGGTCAGGGTAGATCTGGGAACACCAGCAATTAAGAGGTGGTTCCATGCTTCTCAAAACCTCCTGATCAGAGATCTTGCTTCTGGATGTAGTTTATCGTCATACCCAGGACGGATATATATAGGGATATCATTGGTTTAAACAATTAAGTTATAAAATAATGAACTTGTTCAAATGTTCTTATTTCAAATTAACTGTAGTTAATAAACTGGCTGACTGCACTGCCAAGATCAGTAGCATAAAGAGATTATTTAATGATTAAATTTTTCAATGTCTTTGCTATGATGAAATCATAATGTAATGTTCAACAATATGTACAATTAGCACATTATTAAAATATCACCACAAAAATTGAACATGCTAAGATAAACAGTGTGAATTTAATGAATGAAAAGAACCAAGAGAAATAAAAACTATCAAGTAGGCATCATTTAAAGCAGATGTCGGCAACCTTTTGGAAAAAGCAGGCCAGAAAGTTATGCATTGTCTCAGAGGAGGGGACATGATATCAAATGCATTGTCTCAGAGGAGGGGACATGATATCAAATGCATTGTCTCAGAGGAGGGGACATGATATCAAATGCATTGTCTCAGAGGAGGGGACATGATATCAAATGCATTGTCTCAGAGGAGGGGACATGATATCAAATGCATTGTCTCAGAGGAGGGGACATGATATCAAATGCATTGTCTCAGAGGAGGGGACATGATATCAAATCATTGAGGAGGGACATGATATCAAATGCATTGTCTCAGAGGAGGGACATGATATCAAATGCATTGTCTCAGATATCAAATGAGGGACATGATATCAAATGCATTGTCTCAGAGGAGGGACATGATATCAAATGCATTGTCTCAGAGGAGGGACATGATATCAAATGCATTGTCTCAGAGGAGGGACATGATATCAAATGCATTGTCTCAGAGGAGGGGACATGATATCAAATGCATTGTCTCAGAGGAGGGACATGATATCAAATGCATTGTCTCAATGATATCAAATGCATTGTCTCAGAGGAGGGGACATGATATCAAATGCATTGTCTCAGAGGAGGGACATGATATCAAATGCATTGTCTCAGAGGAGGGACATGATATCAAATATCATTGTCTCAGAGGAGGGACATGATATCAAATGCATTGTCTCAGAGGAGGGGACATGATATCAAATGTATCTCAACCTCAGATCGCTTCATCCAGAAGGCCGTCTTGGTCAGAAGGTTTAAAGAAAAAAACAACAAAATTAATGTTATATTATTTAAATAAGGTTCCTTATTTTACTGAAGGAATAACAGGATAACAACTAACACAAATAACAAAAAATGCAAATTTCTTACTACAAACGAAAGTAAAAAATGGCAATTTATTTAATGAAACACTTGTTTCTGTTTATTGTTCGATAACTTCTCCACATCAGGTGAAATATTTGTCAATCACAGGAGCAAAACATCATCCAGGTGGCCGTCACCCAACCTTGTTCTAAAATAACTTTTAGTATACATCATTTTTGAAAAAAAGTTGTTTACAAGCATATGTACTTCCAAATAATATCATCATTTTCACATTATTCATAAGGCTTTTATATTTTCTGCTTGGCAAAACACATTGTTGAAGCCAGCAGTTGATT